CTCCAACCAGGCCCACCTCCCAGAGGTCCCACCACCTCCCATGGGAGGTCCCACCTCCCTTGGGGACCAAGACTTTATAAAATGCATGGACCTTTGGGAGCCAAACTACAGTGTATTTGAGTGACTGGAAATGGCTTTCTCACGGTCTGGATGCAGGAGTGTGACCCAGGGCTCTGTCCACCTGCTCCTCTGCAGCACTGGGTGGGGCCTGCCTGGCCCCTTCCCAGCCTCTGGTGGCAGTGGCCCTCCTGGGCTCCCTGGCTGCAGCAGCGACCTCCACCTCGGCCTTGCCTTCCCTTCCCTTCCCTTCCTCTCTGTGCGTCGTTCTCTTCTCCCTCCTTCTAAGGACAGCAGTCATATTAGATTTAGGGCCCACCCTAATCCAGTATGACCGCATCTGAGTTGATTAGGTCTGCAAAGATCCTATTTCTAAATAAGGCCACATGCTGTGCCCAGCTGTCCCTTTCTAGAGCATACGGTACATAAATAACCAGGCAAGTCGTATAAACACGAGACATTCACATAAATGCCCCGGTACCAGGCCTGGGCCCCTCCTGACGCCACAGGAAAAGGACAGCCCGGGTGTGCCCCTCAGGCCTCCAGGAGCCCCACAGAAGCCCGGATGCCTTGGGTTTGCTGGCCTCAGAGGGCGGTCAGCCCTGGAGGTCCTGGGAGGAATTACGGGGCCCTCAACATACAGCTGGCCAGCCTCCCTGTGCCTTCCCACCCCCTGCCAGCCCCACCCTTATGTGCTCAGCAGACATTACACAGCCCTCTCCCTTCTTACAAACAACTGGATTTTTTCCCATCTCTCCAAATTTCATCACCAATTTCAATTGGCTTCTGTGCTCCTCAGCTTTCCGTCACTGTGCAAAATACCAGAGAAATCCACTCGTGAGAAAGAAAGGTTTGTTTGGCTCAGGGTTTCAGAGGTTTCAGTGAGTGGTTTCTTGGGCCTGTTGCTTTGGGCCCGTGGTGGCACTATATCATGGTGGGAGTGCATGCAGAAGAGACCCTTCACCTCCTCACTGCCAGGAGGCAGAGAGACCAGGAGGAGCTGCGTGAGCCCTCAAGGGCACACCTCCTAAATGGCCTCCCATTAGTGCTGCCGGCAGGAGACCAAGCCTTCAACACGTGGCCCTTAGGGAACATTGAAGACCGAAACCATAATAGCTTCCACTCCAACACTTTTCTAAATTAGCGATGTCCTCCAATTCACACATTTTCATGGCTCTGACTAGAGAAAGAGAACTGAAAAAGCATCCTTCATCTCAGGAAGCAGAGCATGGGGCTTCTCCCACCCAGTCAGTTTTTGTTGAGCATCTACTAAGTGCCAGGTCCTGGAGAGCCATGGGGAGGAGGACGTGCACCTGTCCTCTGGGAGCTCACGTGCCAGTGGAAGAGACAAGGAACCCCCTGAGGGCGGAGGTGGGGCCTAGGAGTCAAGAGCTGGGCTGGGATGGACTGTTGCAGGGGCCAGGCAGGCTCCCTGCAGAAGGGGCGTTCAAGCTGAGGTCAGAGGGATGAGAGGAGGTTTGAGGAGAGAAGCCAGCCCCCGAAGAGGACAGCAGTTCTCAGACCCAAGGGAGGGAGGGAGAGCCTGGAGCCAGCCAAGAGGGACAGCACTGGTGTGAGGGAGACGGAGGTGAAGGAGACACCCAGAGGGGTGCCTGGAGGGCCACCTGGTGTTCTTGTGCAAAGGGAATCCTGAGCCGTTCCTGCAGGTGAGTCACTTCTAAGCCTAGATGGTGGGTGGGGATGCGATAAGGAGGGCACAGAGAACCAAGCCAAGAGGCACTTGGGGCAGACCCCAGGAGCACTTCTTGGACCAGAAGAAGATGGAGGCAAACAGCATCTTGTCTGGGCAACTGGTCCGGTGGCCATGACCTGTGGCGTGTAAGCATGCATGACACGGCACTTTCCAGCGCTCTGTCATACCTGCCCTTTGAGCCTTGGGGTCCTTCTGGAGAAAGACAGTGATACCACCAGTTATCGGTGACGAGTCCTGCTTCCCCACGTGTTGAAGTTTGAACATTAGAGACGTGTTATTCATCCTAGGCTTCCTTTCTTTTCCTGTCTTCTTCCCCCTTATCTCTCTCCTTCCTGCATACGAGGTCCAGGAGAGGGCCCAGGTGGGATGGCCAAAAGGTGAGGAGCAGATGGACCGGCGGGGGTGGGGGGGTGGGGAAGGCAAATGGAGTGGTCCAGGCAGGAGGCAGCCCTTAATTAGCAACTTTTACAACTCCCTGTAGGGAGGGGCCATTCCTGGGTCAGGCCTCCTTAGCTACAGATTGGACAGGGGCAACTGGAGGAAGGACTCTGGAGGCATTAACATTTCAATTCCTCAGAGGCAGGTCTCTAACTTCAGGTACCCAATTGGCTTCCATTCTCCCAATCCCACCCAACTGCATATCTGCACTGACTGCCTGTCTTTAATTCTGTCTCAACAGGACACTGTGGATGGGGGAAACGGTGAACCTAGGGATGGAGGTGCTCTCCAAGGATCCTGGGCAGCAGGGATGGCCTGGCCTGAGTATGGCAGAGATGACCCAGGTTCTCGGGGAGACCCGTGGACAACTGGGACCACCCTCCTGGCAGAGCCTTTGACTCCCAGCCACTCCACCCCTCACCCAGAAAAGGAGAACAAAGTTGGCTGTCTCCAAAGGCCTGGGGCCGGCCTTTCCCCCCTCCTCTGCCTCTTCTACAAATCCTATGTTTACGCTTGCTCTGCGGAAATCCATCTATTATCTGTTTGCCTTGTAGATGAGCAAATGGACATTCTCGGGTTACCTGTGCCTTTGGTCTATTCTTTTTTAATATAAATTTATTTATTTGTTCTAATTAGGTATATATGACAGCAGAATGCATTTTGATTAACTGTACACAATTGCAGCACAACTTTTCATGTCTCTGTGCACAGTGCAGTATCACACCATATGTGCAGTCACACATGTACCTAGGGCAGTGACATCCATCTCATTCCACCACCTTTCCTGCCCCCCGACTCTCCATCCCCTTTATCCAAATTTCCCTGATTTTTCTCATGCCCCCCCGCCATTATGGATCAGCACCCACTTATCAGAGGGAACACTTGGCCTTTGGTTTTTGGGGATTGGCTAACTTTACTTAGCATGATATTCTCCAACTCCATCCATTTACCTGCAAATGCCACAATTTTATTCTCTTTTAATGCTGAGTAATACTCCATTGTGTATACACCACTGTTTCTTTATCCATTCATCTATGAGGAGCATCTGGGTTGCTTCCACAGTTTAGCTATTGTGACTTGAGCATCCCCATTCTACAAAGGAGGAAAGTGGGGCTCAAAGCTTGAGTAGCTTGTGGGAACCAGTCTTTCATTCCAAAGTTCCTCCTTGTCCCCCAGACAGCAGCCTAAGAGGAACACCGGTGTCTGGTCTGCTGGGGGGGGGGGGGGGGCAGGAAACAGACTGTCAACATACCAGGCCTTCTGATCCGATGGCTGCCTGGCGCCAAAATACACCCTCCTGAAACCCAGGGGTCTGGGAGGGAGCTGGACTCCTGTCCCTGAGAGGAAATCTGGAATATGGAGGAATCAGGGCTCTTCCTGGAGACACATAAACCTGCCTGATTTTCTTTTCACCTAGAGGGCTCAGGAAGGTGGAGAACGTGCCTGGGTGAAGCCCCTGCCTTCCCAGGGAGCCAGGTGGAGGCCAGGGCAGGGGACGGGCTCATTCCCAGGGAAACACTCCCATCTGCTGGTTGATTGTGGTGTGACATGTGTGACATGGAATGAAAAGCGTTCAGAAAACAGCATCTAATAGACAGTGAGATGATGACATTTCACTGTATGGCGTCCAATTCGAGAATATGCAAGGTTTTGGGTCTCTTAGCTTTTTATTTTTAGGTGCTGGGGATTGAACCCAGAGGTGCTCTACCACTGAGCTGCACCCCCAGGCTTTTCCCATGTTTTTGTTTTTTAATCTCAAGACAGGGTCTCACTAAGTTGCCCAGGCTGGTTTCAAACTTGCCATCCTCCTGCCTCCGTCTCCCAAGCAGCTGGGATTACAGGCATCACCACCACACAAGGCCCCACTTAGCATTTCAGACCAAACAAAAAGCAAGCATTTGTTCATGATTCAATAAACATGTATTTGGCACCAAATAAAAGAAGATGGACACAGCTTATGCCTTCTGGGAATCCTGTTCTGGCAATGGGTAGCTGTGCTGTCACCCTTACACACACACAGACACACACACAATCTCTCTCTCTCTCTCTCTCTCTCTCTCTCTCTCTCTCTCTCTCTCATTTGATATCAAATCAAAGTCCCAAGAAGCTGTAGACCAGGCTCCTGCCCTTGGACTCAATGGACCTCACTAAAAACCAACGGACTCACTGATACTAAAGTTCCACGTCACAAACCAAAACTAAGTGATCTGAGCGTCTAGGAAACAGGAGAAAGAGGAGAGGGAGGGAAGGAGGGGGACCAAGTCCCAAACAGAGCAATTTCAGGCGGTCTGATGATGAAGTTCTCTGTTAATCTTTTCAAAAAAGGAAACCTTTGCTAGCCAGCCAGGTGTTTTCCTGTAGCTCTGACTCCCTGCCCCACCTTATGAGGAAATGGCCGATCTGCTTTTGTCCTTTCTCCTGCTCCCTTCAGCACTTCTCTGTCTGTTAAACCTACTCCCTCTGCTTAGCCCACTCAACCGTGCCACCAGCACGCTAGCTTCATACTAGGGGTGCTAAGCATAGAAGTTAACTAGTGAGATCAAAATAAACACTCATAAACTCAATTTACCTTTTTCTTTGACCAGGTCTGAGATGGCTCCCCCTCTGTCTCCTGCCTCGAGCCACCTGGTGGGGCAGCGAGGTTTACACAAGAGACTAGCAGGAGAGAGAGAGAGCATGCCAGGGAGTGGCCTTTTATTGGGGAACAAGAAATTCAGGGGAAAATTCCATCCAATGAAGGTCGAGGGGGACAGCATTCCAAGGTCAGGGTCAGTGACTGGTCTCAGGGTCAATGGTCAATCACACCCCCACACGGATGGGCTCTCGCACCTAGAAGGGGTGGGGATTAGTTCTGACACAGTTTAGCCGGAACACCTCACACCCAGTCAGGGAGGTGACCAATCACATGCGAGAACGGCTTCCCACAGCCCACGAGAACACATTCCTTCTATTTGATGAAGTGAAGTTTTCCCTGATTTTAGAATCCATCTTCGAAGTCGAGGAAGACCCTGAAGCTGTAGTGTTGCCATTTTGTCTTTTGACAATACACAGGTACAGGACGCCTGTGCCCAGGTTTGCTGCACTCATCCCCCACAGGCCTGTCCCCCTGAGCACACAGGCTTGCCTTGAGCATTGACGAGTGTCATGAATAAACCAAACAATAAAAGATGATTTGGACTGAGGAAGGAGAGGTCTGCCTCCTGCCGGTGTGGAGAGAGCCTCTGAGTGAAGACCTGAGTCAGGACGAGAGCCGCCCTGCAGGAAAGAGTCTTCCAGGGAAGCGGAGGAAGAGAGAGGCTGGACCCGAGGCTGCAGAGCCAGAGGAGGCCCTGGAGCCAGGGCACTGCGAACACTTGGCCCGGCGGAGACCCATAAGCAAAAGACCTAAATTAATGAGATGCAATGTCCCCAAATCATCTCTTGAAGGAATCACCCTTACAGTTGAACCCTTGCAAATCCTCACAACACAAGTCATCTTTCAATTCCTTGCGTTTAAATACCTGCTGTTTCTGGGGAAGCCATGTTAGCCTGAACACCCTCAGGGCTGGTTAGTTTGGCCCAAAGTACAATCCACAGTCGACCAGGTACAATCCACAGTCGCAGCTGGAATGTCCACCATCACTGTTCACAGCCTTCAAAGGCAAACTGAGAGGTGATTATACCACAGAGGCCTTGGCTAAAGACCTACAGGAAAAAGGAGCAACTCGAGCGTCCTAATGTACTTAAAATAAAATCCCCAGGGAGTGGCCCTACACAGATTCCAGACTGTTTGAAAACCGGAGAGGAAAGGCAAGGAAATGAGCTCCTGGACCAGGATCCGTGGGGCTGCAGAGCCATCCACCTGGGCACCTGTTACTAATGGAGTCGGAATCTGCATCTTACAAGATCCTTACACGACTGGTGTACATCGCAAAGTTGGAGAAGCCTGCTTCTGAAAACCTGGAACAGAGGTCACAGGTGGCTCCAGTCCTGAAAAAGACGTGAATGTTGGAAATGCAGGTAGAGGATTTTAACAGTTGTCTTAAGAACTATAAGAAAAAGGTAATGGCCAGGCACGGTGGCTTACTCCTATATCCCAGCAGCTCAGGAGGCTGAGGCAGGAGGATCACAAGTTCAAAGCCAGCCTCAGCAACTTAGCAAGTCCCTGTCTCAAAATAAAAAATAAAAAAGGCTACGGATGTAGCTCTGCTGCTAAGCACCAGTGGATTCAATCCTTGGTACAAAAAGAAAAAATGATGTTTATAAATTGAGATTTTATGTGTTTATAACTAGATAAGCAGTGCAGTGGTCAGCATTGTGGGCTCTGAAGCCAACTACATGGGTGTATATTCTATTTCTTTCAATTCACTTTTCCAGCTGGTGTCTCTGGGTAAATTACTCATCTCTGTTTCTCAGGGTTCTCATTGGCAAAATTTCAAATATATGTTAACATACATTTAAGATGATTAAAGTACTATATATTTAACATATTTGACTGTCATCTATATCCATAAAGGGTTTTATATTTCAACTTTCTAATCTTTTTTTTTTTAAGTCCTCTCACTGGGAAAAATGAGAACAATGGCTAGCTTTACATTACAAACATAAGCAATCCCAGTTAAGCTGGATTTCAACAGCTAGGCAAGCTCGTTTCTGTACTTCTCAGTTTGGGTCAGCCCAAGTCCCTGTCATGAAGCAGGGCTTCTATTGGCCAGCTCTGCTCATCTCTGGGACCCCTTGAATGGAGTCTTCAAATGTAAGCCACTAATTAAATGACTAGATGGAAAGGCCGCAGAGAAAAGCAGTTTGCCCAAACTACAAGACCTTCCCCCTACAGTCCTCCCTACTGGGCGTGTGGATGACGGTCGGTTACCCTGTGGCACGGAGGTCAGAGGGCTTTGCCAGGGACACTGGCCCAGGCAGGAGATCCAGCTCACATGCCGACTCTGGGCAGGTGGAAGAGAGGGCTTGGAACTCCTCCTCTCTCGGGTGGCCCTGGAGAGGTGTGGAGATGCAGGGTGGGCTTCAGTGGGTGGGTGTGAGAAGGGATCCAGGCGAGGGGGCCGGGGCTCAGTGTGCGGAGTCAGGGCCTCTACTCTGTGCGTTGAGGTCCTGGGCATTCCTGAGGCTTCAGAAAGGACTTGGCCTAAGAGGTCCAGTCTCCACCCACCTGGCATAGGGCACCTGGGTAGGGCCCTGGGTCCACGGGTCATGAGTTGGCCTGGTAATGGGGGAGGTGGTTGGTCAAAGACTACCAAGAAATAGTTGCTCTTAGAGAAGGGTTGGAGCCACCAAGCCCAGCCAGGGGGACATTGTCCCCTGAGTTGGAAGTTCCCAAGACCACTACCTCCGGCTTAATGATTCACTAAGAGGGTCCACAGGACTCAGAAATCTGTAACATGGGTGATTAGAGTGAAAGGATTCAGACACACCTTCTAAAGCCAAGGTGAAAGTGCAGAGGGCAGAGCCCCTGAGAGGCCGGGCAGCAACTCCCAATTGCCCCCCACCAATGGAATCCTGGGGCACACGATTCTGTCAGCAAGTGTGTGACCTCTGCCAGGGGCAGCAACCATGGAAGCTGAGCCAGGTGTCCAGGGTTTTCCCTGGGGGTAGCCACAAGGCCAGGCAATGCCCCAATTGGCCTGAACCACTGGCCTCCTGCCACCCCCACCCCAGAGTCAAACTGCTACAGAGGCCCCGGCCCCAGGCATGGAGAGCGCTCTTATCGAGCAGGCACCCCAGGGCCCGGGGTTATCTCCCAGCAGCACGTCCAAGGCCAGTGCTCTCGGAAGCCAGCAGGGCTTGGAGCACATGAGACCCCGGTTAACGCTTGACGGCCGACTCCCAGGCGCCTCGCTCAGAAATTCCCCTCTCACTTCACGAGGGAAGGTGGCAGGTTCTTTCCCTGCAGCCCACACTGCTGGCTGTGGGACTCAGGAGACGAGACCAGTTGGCATGATGGACCCCAAGTCCAGGGCTCCTGCGGGCACCTACTCAGCTCAGACCTGTGTGTAGGTGGACATCAGCAGCGAGCCCTCTGGCCATCCCTGCCTCTCCCCAGAGCCCCAGGCAGCCACCAGCTGGTGAGACCTGTTTTGGGCACACACCCCAGGACAAGCCAGAAGAAAGCCCGTGGTTCCACCCGCTATGTGCCAAGATGGCAGGGCCTGCCGAGGGCCCCCTACAGGTGGTCTAACTCCAAATGGAGCAGAGTCCCTCCAGGTACGACCCAGCACCAGCCAGAGGAACCCCAAGGCCTGAAGCAAAGACAAGGGCAGAGGCGGGCGAGGCCAGGTCACCTGCTCAGGGAGTCCAGGGCCAGCTTCAGTTTCCTCGGCCGGGAGGACCACAGTCCAGGGCAACCGGGAAAGGGAACCTCATGCCCTAAAGTCTGAGGGCCCTGGAGGAACCCAGCGGAGCCCTGGCAGGGCAGCGGGTGTGCCCAGCGCTCGGGCGGGGTTGGGTCCTGGTAACGAGCAGTGGAATCCAAACCAAGAAGTTGGCAGGGGATCCAGTTTTCTTTAAAATGCTTTTAAGGCAGATGAACAATCCAGTCACTTGCAGAAAGATAAGAGGTGCACTAACCCTGAGAATAGACGGGGACCACTGCAGAGCCAGGATTCACGGCCCTGGGCTCCTCCATGGGTACCAGAGGGGAAGTGTCTTCAGCAGCCAGGGTCAAGTGCACTCGGGTCAAGTTTGCCTAGTCATGGGCCCCGGCACCCTCATTAGCATAGGACTGACTTGTCGATGAAGCCCCCCTGAATCAAGCACCCTGAATGGGGTGCTGGCCCTGACAGTTCCAGAGAGGACCAACTAGGGTCAAAACTCCCCCGTCCACCATGCGGGAGATAAACATCTGACTGGAGAGGACTGCAGAGGTGGCCCCCAGCTCTCCTGGTCAACATCATACAGCAACAGACTAGGAGGCAGCACTTTGCTGTCCCCTGCTGGGAGGTGGCCCGCTCTCTGGAGTGCTCCCTGCGTCAGCCTCCCTGTTCTGTCTCTTACACTCAAATTCTCCTGCTTGGCTTCGTGAGTCTGACTTCAAATTTTTCTCTCACTGGGACACAAAGACAGAGGTTTGGAGCCTCAGCTCTCACCCTCCTGTGACAGCGGCTAGGGAGGGGTGGAGGGTGTCACTCTGCCCCCTTATGACTCCATGGGGTGCTTCAGAGCCCAGGGTCCTCAGCTCCCCTAAACAGTTCTCCAACTCCCAGGACAGCTCCCTGCCTCCAGGGGGGTCTCTGGCCGAGCCCCCTGGTGTTCCCTCCATACTCCACACAGAGTTAAAAGCAAGCCTGGTGTGAAGGCCACCGCTGTGGCCACTCTGGCTCCCCTTCACCTCTCAGGGTTTCACCCCTGCCTTTCTGGGCCCCTCCATCCTCCACCCTTCCAAACACCAACACACCCGCCTGGCTGTAGGGGGCGCTCTACACCTGAAATGGTTTCCTGCCTGGGAAACCAAGGCGGCCAGAGATCCTGGCCAGGACTATCCCACGTCATTATTGACCGTCCTTCACTGCAAGGTCCTGCAAAAAGAACCTGGTGACACTGAGACAAGCCCCATCTGGCAGGAAGTGGCTGGGTAAACCCCAAACCCTGCAACAGCTTACAAAGTGCTGAAGTACAAGTGTCCAAGGGGGTCGCCTCTAATGGGTATGGACAGGGACAGTACAGAGGAGGCTGGAGGCCACGGTCCTCCTCCTTCTCCATCCAGCGACTCCAGCCAGCGCCCAGAGGGCCTCCGTGAAGCACCCACAACAGCCCACACCCTCAGGGTAGCATCGTGAGCTGCTGTCCTCCCTTGGGAACGTGGACTGGGTCGAAGTTGAAGGGCCCTGGAAGCAGCTCTGGGCACTGGGGCAGGGAGTTCCCAGAGTCCAGTTACCCGTAGCCCAGTCCAGGGGTGAAGAAGCCACTGTCCTGCAGGAGGGGGAGCAAACTGGAGGGGGCCAGAGTGGGCCTCGGGGGCCACCTTTGTCACTTGCACACTGACATCTCCTCCATCACCAAGGAGCTGTCCTTGATGGGACTTAGAGATGGCAGCAAAGGAGCTGACCCCTAGCCCAGGAGACCCCTGCTGTGTGCTTCCCTGGTGCCCATGTGGACTCTGCCATCAGGTGGAGCTCTCTGCCTGCTCAGCCACGCTCCTCACCAGTCCTAAGGAACTGCTTCCTACTATGAATTGTACCCCTGTCACCCATTCACTTGAAAAATAAAAAAGGAGTTTATTTTTCTAATCCTAACTGTGTGACTAACTGTATGCATTGTTTAAGGTAAAAATTAACCAGCTAAAAAATTCAAATGAACGGGATTATAAAAACATATACCATTTAGTCTCCAGGGTGTGAAAGGGATTATAAAAACATATACCGGCATGGTGGTGCACCCTTCCAATACCAGAACTCAGGAGGCTGAGGCAGGAGGATCTCAAGTTCAAGGTCAGCAACTTAGCAAGACCCTTAGAAGCTTAGTGGAATTCTGTCTCAAATTTTAAAACAAAAAGGCTGTGGATGTAGCTCAGTGGTAGGCTCCTGGGTTCAATCCCCAGTACCCTGCAAAAAAAAAAGCAAAACTATACTTATCTGACCATGGTACCAATAGCCAAAGGGGATGAGAGGACAACTGTGACAAAGGGAAGGGCTGGGGGAACAGAGGAAGGAGGTCATAAGTAAGGGCTGGGCAGAAGGACACTGCTGGAAGAGAGGGCTCAGGACAGCAGGTGTCTCAGAGTATGTGCAGAAAGGACACAGGCCAGGGTTGTGGCTGAGGTCAGGTGAAAGTGAAGGGAAGTCCCCAGGTTTCAGGAGCCCCTCTGCAAAGCACCTTGGTGACTTCCTGCTTTTGAAATTTCACCAAGTAAGTCCAGTGGGACTCTGGCCTGGCCACATGTCCACACACCACAGGGAGCCTGGGTGCTTTCCCCAGGAACACTTGCACCTCTAACATACTTGGAGTTGGAGCCGGGGGAACTTCCAAATAGCCTGGTCGCCCCAGTTCTTTCCCAGGGAACTACAGATCAGGGTGGTGAGAGAAGTTCTTCCTGCCAGGCTGCAGGAAGCCCCTTCCCAGACACCCCCCCACACACACACACACACAGAGCTGTTCCACTGCTGTCCTGGATGTGCTCATTTAGTCTCCAGAGTGTGATAAAGTGTGAAGAGCATGGTGCATGCCTTAAACCCCAGCAGCCCAGGAGGCTGAGGCAGGAAGAACACAAGTTCAAGGCCAGTCTCAGCAACTTAGAGAGACTCTGTCTCAAGAAATGAAAAGGCCTGGGATGTGGCTCAGTAGTGGAGGACCCCTACCTAGATTCAATTCCCAGGACTGTAAAAAAACAACATAAAACAAAAGGAATCATGGCTCAAATTCTAGTCCACTGGGCAGGGACTTGGAGAAGGGGCCTGACCTCTTGGAAACAGTCATCATCTGAAAAGAGGAACTAGTATCCCACATCTGCCTACCTTCTGTGAGGAGCAAATTGGAGATGTAATGCAAAATTTGTTGACCTCCCACCCATCTGCTCGTACCAAGTGGTGTCTACCATAAAAACCCAAGAAAGTAGTTATATATAGTCACTTCCTGTGGCTGCTGTCACCAGTGACCTCAAACTCATAGCTTTAAATACCATCAACTTTCCATCTTACAGTTCTCAAGGTTAAAAGTCCAAAATCCACTTTACTCGACCAAAATCAAGGCCTGTGCTCCTTCTGGGGGCTCCAGGGGAGAACTGCTGCCCAGCTCTTCCCAGCTCCTGCAGACCACCTGCAATCCCCGGCACGCGGCCCCTTCCTCCATCTTCACAGCTGTATCTCTGCTGCCCTTGGACTAACCCCTGACTCTCCCCTCTACCTCCCCTTCTAAGGAAGCTATTGGACCCGCCCAGGTGATCCAGGCTCATTTCCCTATCTCCAGATCCTGAGTTCAAATACATCCACAAGGTCCCAGGCAAAACAGCTACAGATTCTGGGATTAGGGTGCAAACATCCTACCACACAGATGTTTTCAAAGTCCACTAAAACTGAAGCCTGGCATTGTCCCTTAACCTCACCTCTGTAACAGAATGCTTTGCTCTCCCAAGAGTCACTGCTACAGTTAGAACTTGAGAGTCCCCCAAAGGTCTAGGGAGTGAAGGCTTGGTCTCCAGAGTGGCATTATTGGGAGGTGGCCTAGGGGTCACGGTAGTGCCTGCCTGTCAATCCCAGCTCCTTGGAGGCTGAGGCAACAGGATCATGAGTGTGGGCCCAGCCTAGGCAGCACTGAGACCCGATCTCAAAAGGTGTGGCCTAGTGGGAAGTCCTTAGGTCACGGGGTGTCTGTGGCAAAAGCTGAGCCGTTTTGCTCTACTGTACTCTGGCCATGACGTGCTGTCCCACACAGGCCCAGAGTCATAGGGCCAGTGGATCGTGGACCGGAACTTCCAAAACTGTGAGCCCAAATAGGCCTTTTCTCTTTATCTTAGGTGTTGTAGTAAGGAAAAGCTTCATGGTGTTCTAAGGAGACTTCATTTAGGAATCATGGGCCAAAGTTTAGAGGTATTTTTACTTCTAAATAAAGTAATGACAGATCCTGCTAATTCCCAGGATCACAGCTTACCTGTATGGGAACTGAGCAACCGCTGAAGCTCTCCTTCAGATTTCTTTAGAAATGATACACAGAAATGCCTTCGATTTGTGGGTGTTGAGTTTGTATCCTGCTACTTTGCTGAGTTCATTTACTAGTTCTAGAAGTTTTCTGGTGGAAGCTTTTGGGTCTTCTATGTATAAAGTCATATTGTCGGCAAATAGTGCTAATATGAGTTTTTTTCCTATCTGTATCCCTTTAGTGTCTTTTGTCTAATTGCTCTGGCCGGTGTTTCAAGAACTATGTTAAATAGAAGTGTTGAAAGAGGGCATCCCTGTCTTGTTCCAGTTTTTAGAGGGAATGCTTTCAATTTTTCTCCACTTAGAATGATGTTGGTGTGGGGCTTAGCATAGATAGCCTTTACAATGTTGAGATGTATTTCTGTTATCCCTAGTTTTTCTAGTGTTTTGAACATGAAGAGGTGCTATATTTTGTTGAATGCTTTTTCTGCATCTATTGAGATGATCCTATGGTTCTTATCTATAAGTCTATTGAAGTGATGAATTACATTTATTGATCTCCATATGTTGAACCAACCTTGAACCCCTGGAATGAACCCCACTTGATCATGGTGCACTGTCTTTTTGATATGTTTTTTTATTCAATTTGCCAGAATTTTGTTGAGAATTTTTACATCTATGTTCATTAGAGATATTGGTCTGAAGTTTTCATCCTTTGATGTGTCTTTGCCTGGTTTTGGAAACAGGGTGATACTGGCCTCATAGAATGAGTTTGAAAATCCTCTTTTTCTATTTCCTGAAATAAATTGAAGAGTATTGTTTTTAGTTCTTCTTTAAAGGTCTTGTAGAATTCGGCTGTGTATCCA